TAATGCAGTCTGTTATAAAAACATTAGAGCATAGGAACATATTTTTCTACCAAAAGGACTATTTTGCTATAGTGTTGTATGCCGAAATTTTAAGGAAAACAGATCCCCAATTGGCTATTTCAGAGAGGTGGTATTCAGAAGGTTCTGACCATTTCTGGAGAACCGGTAGTGGAAATTTTGAATAGTTCGGAGAACCAGCAAATACCACCTCTGACTGGAGATTTTTACAGTATCCTTCCCCTGCCACGCCCACTAAATCCCGCCCACAGAACCGGTAGTAAAAAAAAATTGAATCCCACCACTGCTATTGCAACTTTCTGATTAGAAAATTAAAGCAGTGTAATTATAGCTGCATAATCTCTTATGATGCTGAGCTTTAGCCCTTGACTGGGCACTTCATAAAGTGTCCTATTATTTCCTGTCAGCTCTTTGATGATGTTGTTTTTGAAACTGATTAGAAAGGAAAAATCATCTTTAGCTGTAGTGTTCTGTCTCCTTTCCTTTCGCAAAAGTTGAGCCCATTCCATTTTTTAAAACCTCACAATAAGTTTCTGAAGTAAGTCTGAGAAATTAGCATACTTGATGGTTTTTAAATGAACTGATCTACATTTTTTATCTCAATTTATCTTTGGTTAATTTCTCCAACCACACAAATTTTGTCTCCTGTTCTGTTCTATATTTGTTCAGTTTAAAAAGTAGCTTCCTGAGAGGAAGATGGATAGACTGTCAGACTAGCAAGAGTTCTGAGACGCTTTACATTATTTCTTTCCAGAATTCTGTTGCATTGGGAAGAATAAGAAGGACCCAAGGGATATACAAGTAAAGTAAAAAGTTGCTGGTTCTCCAAACAGCAACGGTTGCTTTCCCTTCACTTTTAGCTTGGAGAGGTGAAGAACATGAACAGTCACACCACGGAACATTTTTAAATATAGAACACAAGTCAGACTTGAAACAAAATGTTTCATGGTATTATAGCTTCATTGTGTTATGTAGTCTTTCACATAACACTACAGCTGATGATCACTGCAAGAATTTCAAAAGATTGGTACATGAAATACAATAATAATGATTGCTTTATAAAGAAAGCAGGTCAGTAATACTGCTGAAGGATGATCTTCTGCTCTTCAGCAATATATAGCTGCTTAGTGCTGCTGCTGTTTCTGCTGTATGTCAGTGATCTGTTAAGCATCTTTGATCATGGGAATGTTTTTTTTAACATGCTACACAATAATTGCCTTGAAACATTTTTAAATCCCATTGATTTCAGTGGGAAAGAGTGAATTGCACCCTTAATGGCTTCCCATGGAAACTAATGGGACTCAAGCGTATTTAAATTAGACTGGATCATGCCCACTTGACATTGCTACATTTACATATCTGCCAATAGTTAAAAAGCCCGGGGGCACACTAATATTGCTGTAGCTACAATTAAGGGTAGGTACATGTAAAAGGACACGGAAATAGATTCAGTTTGCCGGGTAGGTACAAACTGGAAGTAAATTTTTGAAATGTGAAGCTCTTTGAATTAGCTTCAGCCTTCTTTCTCTGCTTTGCCTTTCTTCAGATACAAATTAATCTCCTCTGCTAAGCCTCTTGTTTTGCTGCAGTGTCCTGAATGCTGATGTACTGTGGGGATGTACAATTGGCTAGATGTATGTGATGCAGCTCAATAACATAAAGGTGTCTTGCAGTTTTCCACTTAAAACACCTACTTTGCTCAGTGATAAAATGAGGTTGCCTTTGGCACTTTTATTTTAATAGTTACTAAAATCTAAAAAAACACAATGTGGTAGAATTATGCAAAGCTAGCTGAGAGAGTTTAGCAGCTGGAGTATAGAGTGAGTTAGCAATGCCTGGAATATTCTGTTCCCCTTTCCTCATAATTAAGAGTATCAGACTGTTAGTTTTAATTCATAATAAATTAAGTGAGAATATAGTTCTGAAACCAGCAGTTCCAATAAAAAAATTTCTCTCTCTCTCTCTCTCTCTCTCTCTCTCTCTCTCTCTCTCTGTGTGTGTGTGTGTGTGTGTGTGTGTGTATTAAATTCCAGAAATGTTCTTGGCTTCAATTTTTTTTCCGTTAAAAAAGAGAAAACATCATAAATGTATCACTTTAAAACAGAGAATGACAATAAATTTATTGTTGAAGAAAACGTTTTGCAGAGCTCTTTGCACATTCATTGTGATCACTATTGCTCCCTTTCCATTTTCCAAACTTTCCTGACATTGTGAAAACTGTTGGCTAGAATAAACTGCCAGGTTAATCAAACAACACGGAAAGGTGAGGTCACTGGAAGTCAGTTATCTTGTGACTGGGTTTTGCTGAAATTATGCTGAACGCACAGTTAAAGCTTGCACTTGGAGGAAGGGGAAGAGGCAGACTCCTACCTGTGTTTTTATAACTCTGCACTGTCAGAACTCATAATAAGTCAAATATTCTTTCTGAGGTACTCAAGGAGGAAGGGAGGGTGGGGGGAAAACCTGTAAATTTAAGAGTAATTTCAGATTGTAAATGAAAAAGAGAGGCACGACTGTTCATTTGCACCAATCATGCCTTCCTTTCATCTGCTCTGATTAGGCCTGGTGCGGTTTCATCAAACTACTCCATCACGGAGCTGTCACTCCAGCCGTCTGTTGATTGAAAACAATCAGGGCTCTGATGGCACAATTATTCTGACCCTTTAACTGGAGGCTGCTGTGATAATGAAAGGTTGATTATGATAGTTTGTGCCTCTTTCAGTTTGCCAAGAAGGTTAATTTGGGCATCAGACGGATGTTTAATGGGCGCTTGCTGGCTACACTGAGGTAAATGAGAACGTGCAGCCTTCGATATTGCATGGATATAGTTTGGCTGCCAATCATTGTCATTTTGAGTTTGTGCCTTGCACTCTGGAAATCACTTTTTTTTCTTTGGGATTTAATTTATTCTGTGCCCTGAGGAAGTTCTTTCACTCCCTGACCTTCACTGTGGCTTCCTCTGCTCTCTTAATTTATTTTTATTTTTATTTCCTTGCTTCCCTTCCTGGCTCCATGGATTGTACTTAAAGCCACAGCAGATCTAGTGGAACCCTGCTTCCCTCCTCCTCCTTTTAATTCCCCTCCTCCCTTCCATGGTCATTTATTATCTGTGTTTGGCACAGGCTTATTTTGCTTTTTGTTTCATGCTGTAGAATAAGAATGTCAAAAATTATTGTGGAAGTTATTTTGCTTTAAATAGTAGTATATTTCACGGAATATTGCCAGGGCTGTTTGTGAGGTGGCAGACTTGTATCTGTAATACAAAAACAGGGACAGCAGTTAAAAAAAAAAGCAAAGTTTTCACACGATTGCTCCCACAAGCCACATGATTTTTTTTCCTTCTCTTTAGCGGTGAGATTCGGGTGCAGGTGGGAGGGGGAGAGAGAGAAATTCTGCCCATCTGATCCTATGTCCCATTCAGAGAGGCTAATAATAGTTATTAAAAATGAATATATGCATTCCAGGGGGAGCAGAATCAGGCAAAAAAAAAAAAGAACAAAGTGCTATGTGGGGGGAAAGCCTCTATTAAAGCATGCTCTTTTGTTCTCATCAGGTTGGCCTCCACCAGAGCTTCAGGCGTAGAAAATAGGAAACTGAGAGACTAGTTCCTACCTGTATTAGCGGTACTGCTCTTTAAAATGGTTTGAAGACTTCAGCTGGTTCCAGATGTCATCACTTGGTTTTAGAAGGATTGGTTATTCTGTGTAGAGCTTCAGCTCTGTTGATAGTACAGTGGCTTGCCTCCGAACCCCTGGATATAGTTCTTCATTCCCACTGGAATCAGTGGAACTTTGCATTTTATAATATTGCATTTTATAATATTTTATAACCTAATAAAAATGTTTGAGTAACAAAGGAATCAGTGGAACAAAATCCCAGTGGGGATTGATTTCAGTGAGGTATTTCAAGTTCAAATATTGTCCAGTATGTTATTCTCATACATTCATAATTATCACAACTATATGGTGCTATCACATGTCCAGCAAATGACTACATGTGTATGCTAGAAAACAAATCCTGAGTGTGCTTCATTCTACTAGCTATGATTGCTAGCACTCAAATTATTTGTTGCATCTAGTTTATCGTTGTTGTGTTCATTTTAATCTTTTTAACATGCTTTGTACAGTATACTTCAGTGGTGTGACTTTTAGTTACCAGTCAGGAGTTCGAAAATTGCGTACATGCATTAACAATGACTCCAGCCCCAAAATAAGGGAATATAAAATCATTGAGAATAAATAAGGGTCTTATATATCATATGGCCAATAGAACATAGAATAAAAGAGTTGGAAGGCACCTTGGAGGTCTACTAGTCCAACCCTCTGCTCAAGCAGGAGACCCAATACCTCAATAGATGGTTATATATCTCAATAGAGAAGCAGTTATTGACATATTTTTATCTTGTTTTCCCACAGCTTTCCATAATTTTATGTTGTTCATATAAATTGGAACTATAATCCCCAAAACACCCAGTGACCATGAATAATGGGTACATCTTCCAGAGAAATCTTCTCCAATCTGATGGCATCCAAAAATGTTGAGATAGTAACTCCCATAATGCTCAGTGAACATTAACATTGGCCACTGTTGAGAGTTTGGGAACTTTGGAGACATGTTATTCAAACACAGGCCCAAATTGAAGAAGGCTGCTCTGGTCAACTGATCACCAATATATGTACATTAGTCGTTATGAGAAAACTCTCATGTTGTCATGTGTTATTTCTTCTTGTTTATGCAAGGAACTCATTATTTGAATGTTTGCTAAGACAAGACGGCCCTGTTATCATACATTAATTCTACACAGAGTCGTCATTATTTTAGGGGAGATGAAGGGATGTTTTTATACATGCAGCAAGATTAAATTTGGGAGTATAATTTTTGGTTGATAACTTGAATAATTCAAATATGTACTTCTCACACCAAATTGTGAATAATGAAGATAGGTTCTTTTTTCTTTTTTTACTGTTTTTCCTCCCTTCTAGCTAGCTGTGAGATGGCTAGAACACAACTGCCGATATCAGTACATGGATGAACTTCTACAGTACGTTCGATTTGGGCTTATGGATGTGGATACACTGCATTCGGTTGCCCTCTCACACCCTCTTGTCCAAACTAGTCAAACAGCAACAGCGCTGATCAATGAGGCTTTGGTCTATCATCAAAGTATCTATGCACAGCCTATTTGGCAGACCAGAAGGACGAAACCTCGCTTCCAGTCAGATACTCTTTACATCATAGGTGGAAAAAAACGGGAAATATGCAGAGTTAAAGAGCTACGATACTTCAATCCTGTGGACCAAGAAAATGTTCATATTGCAGGGATTGCAAATTGGAGTGAGCTGGCTCCCATGCCAGTAGGAAGAAGCCACCACTGTGTGGCTGTAATGGGAGATTTCCTCTTTGTGGCAGGTGGCGAGGTTGAACAAGCCACTGGCCGCACATGTGCAGTACGGACTGCTTGTAGATATGATCCCCGTAATAATTCCTGGGCAGAAATAGCTCCAATGAAGAATTGCAGGGAGCATTTTGTACTTGGGGCTGTGGATGAATTTCTCTATGCTGTGGGAGGCAGAAATGAGCTACGTCAAGTTTTGCCAACTGTTGAACGATACTGCCCTAAGAAGAACAAATGGACTTTTGTTCTGTCCTTTGACAGGTCCCTTTCCTGTCATGCAGGATGTGTTGTGGATGGTCTTCTTTGGATATCAGGTAGAAAATGTTTCACCCGCAACTTTGAAGACTAAAAGCATGACAAAACATGTTTGTGTCAGTGGCATTAGTTTGGTGCCACATGCCTTAGAAAGGTTTCCTTTTGTTTGCTGGAAATTGAGTTTTAATACAAGGGGCAGGTGGTATAATATTTCTGAGCCACAGATACTCAGCAATAGGTATTCAGCACAAAGGAGAGGAGTTGTACAGCCAGAAAATTGTATACAGGGATAATGAAAGTGCAGTGCCTGCTGAACAAAGCAATTACAATTTAAATAGAAGTGTCCCCAGCAATTTATTTTAAATATATTTGTATTGGCCCATTAAGAGGAAGATGTATGTATCCTTATCTCTTGATGCCAATAAATGCACTTTTGATTCTTTTTCACAAAATTGTTGGATTTAGTACATCTATCTTAGTTGAAGTAACATTTTAAGTCATGAAACTTAAGCAAATATAGTTGTCTGTCAGTGATCTTCTACAGTTACAGAATGGGTTGTCATGGCTTATTTCACAATAATAATAATAACAATAATTGTAAGCCACCTGACTGTGAACAACTTAAAAGAACAATTGCATTTGCTACCATTTAAAAATGGTAAAATGAGAATAAGTAAATGGAAATGAACTAAATATAGGGGAGAAGAGTACTGAACCTAGGAATAAGTGTCCTATTTTCAAAAAGGAAGATTTTGCACATTCAGATTTTGGAAGTATTGAATAGAAATAGAATGGACCGAACCCTTGTAATCCATAAAAAGGGCTGATCAGAATGGTTTAAATTAGAATTCCTGTGAATGTTTGAAGAACGTCCGCACTCTTCTACTCTGAAATAATTTTGAAGCTTGTGTAAGGTGGTGATGATTAAATATATAGATTGTTTCTCATTAGAGAATAGTAGAGGTTGTAAACTACACAAATACAGAACATGCCACTCCCCTTTTATAGTGTAGTATGACAACAGGAGTATGTCAGCATTGCTGTCAGTAGTTAATGCATGTGGTGAGTACAAATTTTGATCCAGATTTCTCCCAAAGAAATCCATACTAGATGCTTAAAATTTAAATAAAATAGCCATGGAGTCCATTCAAATCATAAAAAACCCATATTCAATCATCTGTCTTGATTGATGCAGTATGGTCTAGAACAGCTAATACTCAAAGAGAGGAAATCACCTATGTTAGTCAAACCTTCCAAAGGGCAACAAGGTATTTCATTTACTTAAAGAAAAAGAAAGATTGCAGAGATGACCAGGAACAGCAATAACCAAAGGGCATTTTGGTCTATGATTTCTTGATGGTATATTTAGAAGACCCCTTAAGCCTGTGTTGATCTAAGCTCTTAACTGATCCGTCAGTCTTTCTGGCATACAAATGCCTCCAATATAGTTATAATACAGGCCAGGCCTTCTTGATCCAACACTGCATGTTTTCCTTACCTTTTCTTTCCCTCATTTACATAATATTTACCCTCTCCCAATTCCTAGTTGTTGGAAGCAGCAGCAAGAAGTGCTACTGCTTTCTGCTTGTGGGAATCCACTTAGCTGTCATAAAGCATGTTGGGTAACCAGATGCTTGAGAAAGCCCACAAGTGTTCTTCATTTCCTCTAGCTACTGCCCACCCCCCACCCCCCATAAGCATTCAGCAGCATGCTTTAAACAGTTTGACTTTTCATGCCCTGCTAATGTGTATTTATTTATTCTCATTGTTTTTCTTGCCTTGGCACATCAGTGTTTTTCTAATCAGGGATATGAACAGAAGCACATACCAGTGCTTCTTTTTCTTAAGTCACATAATGATTAAATTATCTTTTGCTCATCAGAGAACTTCAGAACAGACAAGATTTCTATGTTTTGTTTTAATGTCTGTCACTTGTTAAATGCTCCCAGGATATTAATATTTGTGTTTATTATCTGGTTTTATGTTTTATGGATGGATGGTTGGTTGGTTGGTTTTTTTAATGCATCTTAAAACCTTGTTACCTCTTAGTACTCCTGGACAACAATAAGCCAGAAAACTATCACATGTCTGCTCCACAATATCACTTCTCTTTTCTACCATTCTCTGGAAGAATACTTTCAATAATCCATTGTCTATGGTTTTAGCAGTGCTACAGGGCTATTTTTTCTATTATTTTCACTGGAGTCTCTTAAAGGGAAACCTTTACCTCTTCAATTTTTTTAAAGAATTGAATACCTAGCGTAATTAAACAACTAGTATGGTATTGTGGTTAAAATGTTAGGCTAGAATGAAGGAGATACACAACCTTAGCTGTGAAAATACACTGGATGAATGTGGGACAGTCACTTTTTTTTCATCTTTACCTCAAGCTTTGTGTCCTAGGGAGCATAGGAGGAAAAGGAGGGACTGCAGCAGATGCCATTATGAACTCTTGAATAACACGTGGAATTTGTATGTAATAAATAAATCCAATACAAATATCTCCCTTTACGAATGGTGAAAAATAAAAAACTGTCAGCACCGAACCTTCCTTTTTAAATATACTTTTGTTCAATTTATATAAAAATAAAATATAAAAACAAAAATTATTAAGAAGGAAAAGGATGGGGAAGGGAAAGTGCAAAGGAATAAAAGAAAAACAAAAATAAAGAAAGCTTCTAACTTTCATTACAGTTACAAATATAAAATTCATTAACTTTTTGATCAAAAATTCATAATACCCAGTATTTCTATAATCACAGACATTTCTAATCATCAATTGCACAAACTCCTTTTTATGACCTGTATCAAATTCTAAAATCAATATAATAATTTTTGGGTTTCCAACAAATCCCAAAGCGTTTACCACCACGAAGCAAAGTTAGACAAAAAAATTTCTTAATCATGATAGGTAATTTCACCATCTCAATCCTTTCATTGTGGGAATCGCTAGGCATTACAAAAATATCACTGCAGTTATAATGTTTAGAAACAAAGTCCCATATTTTTTTCTCTAACTGCTTACCCATCAAATCTAAAAGTAAAATTTCTGGTTTCAACTGTACCGTTGTTTTAAAAATTATCTGAATTAAAATATGAATTTGATCCAAATAATTGTTAGCCTCCTTATATGTCCACCAGAGGTGGTTTTGGATTGATTATATTTCCAACATATATTTGGCACACCATTTTTATATATCTTTGACAATTTAAGGTGTTAAATACCAGTACCAACAATGTATCATATAGAAATTAACTTTCAAATTATAGCTCAAAGTGAATTTCAATAGCAATAGCACTTAAACTTATACACTGCTTCACAGTGCTTTACAGCCCTCTCTAAATGGTTTATAGAGTCAGTGTATTGCCCCCAACAATCTGGGTCCTCATTTTACCAACTTAATTGTAGAGTGAAACATCTAGGGAGCAATAGTTTGCTAAACCGGTTCTAGGTTATCAAGTGCCAGATTTATGCCATAAATTTTCTTCAAGGAAATCTAGAGAAATAGAACTGACACATAATACTTTGCAGCTGCCCGAGTCTGCTTTGGAGGATTCCTTATTTCTGGGTCAAGGCTGAGCCCTATGTTCCCACATGGAATCTCCTACTTTGTCAATATTCATAAAAAAAAAGGAGAAATGGAAACCCTTATCATGTTGAAAGGTATCATGGGGGTTTCAAATAGTATGCAATATGTGGGAATATCTCTTTTATCATTAAAAATGATTTTCTGAACTTGAAAGACGACATAGCAGGTCTCCTAAGGAGGTTAAATTCTCAAATATTAAAAGCACTTGCTGATAGTTTGACTGAATCTCTAGCCCTCTTTGACATTCACAAAGCACTAAAAAATGAAAATCTGGAGAGCTATAGAGCAATCAGTTTGACATCAGTTAGGAAGAGTCCAGAACAAATTGTTTTCTAAATGTTTAGAGATGGTTTTTCAATGTAATACTTAGTTGAAGTCAGTATTTTTTTTTTCATTTTTTGATTTGGCACTTCCGTATTGGAGATTGTAGACATTTGAAGCATATAATATATATATACTGTAACTGAATTTCAGCAAAACAAGGTAATTCAGTATGGGCTGAATGGCATCCCTATTTGGTGAAACTACATCTTGCTTGAACACTATACTCAGTAAAAAGCTCGTCAACATTTTCTCATCAAATTTCAGGAAAGTGTTGAATGTGCTATATGGTCCTCCTCAACTTTTTTTCTTAATGATTTGGATGAAGTGGTAGGAGCAGTGCTTACCATATTTGGAGATAATTTAAAATTGGACTGGATAGCTAATATGCTGTACTCGATGTATAAACCAGGGATTCCCCAGGATCTTTTTGCAATCCTCAGAGCTACTTTAGGTTTAGAGGTAGAGCCAAAGCCTTGAGTTCCTTTTTTATTTCTAGTGAGGCTTAAAGGAGTGAAATGAGCATCGAACTATGAGGTAAGGCGTCCATTTAAGTCCCTAACCTCACCTTCCCATAATTCATGCTAATTGTTAGATTTATACCTGGCTTTTCTTGAAAGACTCATCTTTACCTCAGTGCAACCTATACAGAGATCTTGCCCCTCCCCCCACAACCACCACGAAAGTAGATTGGCCTTAAAGAGGTTGAACAAAAAGCTAAGGACAGTCCATGTCTCTTCAGCTTACCTTCTGTGATGATACTTTCAACACTGTCAAACAACAACACCTCTCTATCCCAGGTCCTTAGGAAGGACTCAATAGGTGGATGAAAATGTCATATCCAGTCTAATCATCCGACTGGCTCTGCAACCAACCATAATAATAATGTCACTCTTGGTTACAAGAAAAGTTGCTGCCCTTTTGTAAAAGATACCATGTATAAATTATATTCGGATACATTTTTTTGCTGTAGTATTTGGAGAGTTACAAATTATTTATTGTTATGTATTTATCAAATTTGGGTACTGCTTATTTTTCTCTCAGAGCAGTTCTGGGCAGTGTATAGTTAAACATGCAAAAACCATATACAAATGCAGGATATCACTAGGAGGAGCGTGGTAGAAACAAAATCGAAATAAGTTAAAAGG